CTGTAAATCGGGGCTGGCTCAAAGTTAGCATCATAAAGTTCTATTAGATTTTTTTAGTTAATTTCTCCTTTGCTAGATTACCTGTTTAATGAACATATGTGTTTTGAAATGTGGTTTTCGTGGCAAGTGTTTGTGATTTTGAATTTTGAAGCCTATTTCCTGTACAGTTGTAGGAAGTAGCCATGAAGCCTGAGAAGTTGTGTGATGTTTCTGAAGCTGAAAGAGCCCGACAAATACTACAGCATCTCGAGGAATCGGTAGACTTTTTTTTGTTCATTTCGCTCCGAAACTTTTTTTATCCATTTTTTTGTTATTTTGTAAAAATGGGTTATACAATCCTCAAATTTTTGGCCGAAAAGCAGTGCAAGACAAATTTGGCTCATCGTCATCCTTTGCTGTTTTTGTTTGCCTCATGCCTTCGGCCCATTTGTCTTTCCTCGTCTCTTCCTTCCTTCTGTTTCTCGTTAATCTCCTGCTCTTTCTTCCTCCCTCTTCCATTTCACGTTAACCAACTGCTTGTTCTCACTTTTCCAGTCAAAAATTTCAAATCGCTTTTAACTTTCATCCTTATTTAATCCGAGTAGTAAGGCGTAGCAGCACAGGTTGCAAGAAACGTACGCGATTTCATCGACCGAAACATTTCTTTCCAATTAACTGGTTTTTCAATAGCATCAAGTTTTTCTTAGCATTCCTTCTACCTTATCACTTTTTTTTTTAATTTTAACGTTTCTGTCATAATTGGTGTGAATTTTACAATTTTTACTACTTTTCAAGGTTGTCTGTATCAGGCTGCACTTGCTGTCATCGAAGGCTTCAACACATACACACACCCACACACTTACATACACACACATACAACATAACCACACACAAACACATACGTAATACAGACACACCACACATACACACACACATGACGATAATTCAGGTGATCGTTTACAATCAGCATCGAGAATTCCACACTTTTAGCTTGGGTATTTATATCTTAATAATATCGAGCATTTCACAGCGATATTCTGCATGATCGTATTCCAGTAATATCAAAAATCCCACACGTACATCCGGATGTAATAAATCTTGGTAACGTCGACAAGTCTCACACGATAATCCTGTTAATTAAATCTCGATAATATCAAGAATTCCTCAGTAACAGTCCCATTATCTCTCGATAACACCGGATTTCTACACTGAGAGTCTTATAGCGCAGACGAATCTACGGCAAAATGTGTATTTTTTCGCTGGTAAATCTCCAATAATCGTGTTAATGCGTGTTTTTTTTAAGAAACACCTTTTATATTTTCATAATTTTTGTGAATTTCTCTTTGAGGATAGTGCACATACTTTGAAGAAACTGTGGGTACCAACTGGAGGTGTGCAGTTTAGTAT